AGGACAATAAAACAAAAGGATTTTCCTTTCACTCAACACACCCAATTTTTTTTCTAATATTGTCTGGCATTTCAGTCAGTGATCTTTTAGTACTGGTTTTTGTTAAAACCTGTACTGTGTTTAATTCCAGTAAGGGACTTATTCTTTTCCAGCTTGTAGCAGAGCACCTGACTTGGACAAGCAACAAAGTTATTATACACATACATGTAGCCTGACATAGGTCATACAATAATACTACTTTGTTCATCCTAAGTGGGCTGTAACACCTTTACGTTACACAATTGCATGTACTTTTGCCCAGTTCAGCTAGTGCAATGAAGGCCTGTGAACACGTACATGTGTCATATGTGAATCCCTTGCGCAGTATGATCCAGCTATCTGCTGGAATGTTTATGGACGTCATCTCATTTGACAGCCACGATGGGTCATCTGTCGTTGCTCTTCTCGCATTTCCATATGCTACTGCAGCTATAAGGAGTGAGGTCATTGCTGTGTAAATGTGACTGCAGTTTGGAGACTGCAGACCATTTGAAGATGATACAATAGAAATGTTTTCAGCCACCAGATGGTGCCAAAGATTTGTGAAGAATCCAGCAAAACCCTACTGTGCTCCAAACCCAGTGGTTCACTATTTGTGTTCAAATGAAATTGTGATGTAAAGCAACTAAAGCCACTTTGAAATTTTAACCTAAGTGTGGTTTCATGGCCTAGATCGGTATCTAAGACATTAAGCCATAACTGGCAATAGGTAGGAGCGAAAGGGCACAACTACATGTACACGTAGCTGGCATCTTTCAGCTTATTGCACATTGATGGAGATTGGAGAATCTTCATTTAATTGCCAGTCACCTAAGGCTTGTCCGAATTGAAAACAGGTTTATCAAAATCAAGCTAAAGTAGCTGGCTTTTTTGGCTATATGAAGTGTTCAAGGCTCATTTTGACACATATTTTTCTTGATTGATTGATCGATCGATTAATAATCATTGTTATATGCGCAGCATGAAATATACCATATAGTAAAAATCCATTTGATTGCTCACTTAAAAACATACGCTAGCACAAGCACATGTAGCACTCAATGCTGATCTCTACCAATTTATAATACAAATGAAACTTGCAACTAATATTAAGTCCGTGAGTTGATCTACAGTAAGAACTGTAGGCATTGGTGTGTGTATTTCTGTGTGCATTTGTAAAAGTTCTCCCAGAAAATAGGCAAGTTGCAGTTTACAACTGCATGGTCTGAACCACTCATGTGTTCAGGGTTTCAACATATTAAAATTCAAAAATTCATCAAACAACACGGTGTAATTATCAACATAATTAAAAATATGGCACGGCAGAAGGTTGTTGGTGTGCATACATTACCAGTTCAGCTTGACTGAATGCAGCCAAAGGACGTGATACGGGACCATGCATGCGTACAATGTTACATATGCAGCAACATGTGTTGGATATGCTGTCATGGTCATTTAAATGGAAATGCGAGTCCTGACATTTATGTTGAGAAAAATCATGTTGGTGTGAGAAAAAAACCAACGAAAGCCTGACAGCACAAGGAAATCCCATCAAGACCTGCAGATGCATGGGTTGTTGCCAAATTTGGGAAGGAGTACCATATGCTGGATCACCTCTTAAGTCCTGTGCATTGTTCAGCAGAGAAGCAGCCTTAGATAGGACAAAGAGAGGTACTGACGGAGGGGAAAAAATGTGCCTAGCTGGCAGGTTGCCTGGCCCTGAACTGGAGCTTAAATGTTGCCATGGCAACAGATGCTTTCCCCAGGCATAGGCCCCAGAATGCCAGACTGTTTTTTTTTTCTGGGCTCGTACACTTCCCGACGTGGACTCCTTTTCAAATGGGATTGGATTGGAGGGATGTGGCCATTTGCTAAATTAAAAAGGATTGTCTGCGTGTGTAATTATTGCCTCAAATCACTTCTACTTTGATTCATTATTGCTGCCAGGGAGGACGTGGCTGGAGTATGGTTCCCCTTGTCCAGCCCTTTAATGTATACACAGATTATTGGATCTGGGCAGTGATTAATTTTCCCCTATGCAAACAGGAAGCCAGCCTAATTGGCTGTTGTGTTGACAACTCTTGGAGGTAGAAGCAGCTTGTTAAACCTGGAGGAGTATCACCAAGTCATCTTGTACCCTATTCTTTTTGAAATAAAAACATGCAAATTGCACATGTGCATGTGTGTATAGTGTGCATGCACTACACTTTTTGCCACTCGACAAACACCTAAACCTGTCTGAGCTTTGTACACACTTGTGGAAGTGAAACCTGATTTTTTTTCCAAAGCCCTGCCGTGTCTACCGATTTCCAACATCTCAGTTATTTGATCTCAAGGCCCTTAATAATTGTGTTCTGGTTCTGGGATTCTGTTGGATAAATTTTCAAAAAAATGTGTTCTGGTTCTGGGATTCTGTTGGATAAATTATTTTAAAAAATTGGCAATGTCGCACTTTATAGCTAAACTGTTGGTTCCCAGCCTGTTGTATCCCTCAATGATGCTGTTGTACTGTTCACCAAAAAAACCCCAAAACAAAACAAAGAAAAAGAGTATATTCGCTAAAAGAGGGGACTTAAAGTCTTTGTGTTTTTGTTGGTGGGAGGCGAAAATGTTCCTTTGCATTTCTCATCTCTTGATCTGGACAGCCAGTGATAATCGCCGACTTCCTTGCCATCTCGATGTGGGCCTACAGCGGGAGAAAGCTGATGCAGATGTATTTCTGGGCCCAGAGTCGGATGGATGGCCCACTTGTTATGACACGGTCTGCTTGCTATGAAACATCTGTCTCCCCTGACATCTTGTCGTACTCGTACTCCTGTATTCCTCTTAATTTCCTGTGCTTGATTGGGAGTCAGATGGGCGTATACATGTATATAGCCGATACATGCATGCGCGCTGTTCAGCGTGGCTGCATGATGGTGCAAATTGTGCTCTTCGTGTGAAATGCAGATGTACATGTAGTTGTTGGGATTTGCGGATGTGAAATCTGTTACATGTATATGTATGCTCATGATAACAAGGTATTCTTTGGCCACGAATCACTTAATGAGAAAGCCACTACCCGCATTAATTGAGGTTAATATGGCCAGTTTGCAAATGAAGACACTTCAGTGTATATGAATAGTGTTATATGTTTCCGTCTAGCTTTACTTTCAAACATTTACGTGGTAGTGTACCCATGGTTTAAGATATCATTTTGAAGAATACATATTTTATCTGTGTATTGACCATTTCAGGTACTTTGTGGACCAATCAAGACTCACATGCACTTCACTTTCATTTTTGTACAGCTGTGCTTGCAACCCCTAGTTGGCTGTTTGCTGTCATTGAGGATTTTTAACAGGAAATAAATAAGATAAACAGATGATTTGGTTTGGAACAAGCAAATTGAGGTCACACCCTCAAGTGCTTCCCCTTGCTGCCATGAATTCATTTCTCTTGCTCAGCTCTTGTTATCTTCCATAGTTTCTTAGGCGCATGAGCCCTTATTGACACCAGCTCTTTAAAACAGAAATCAAACTTTTTTCTTTGGGGGAGGCTGGCCAGTTTGTTTTACCCCTATATCAGTGTAGGTTTGAAATAGTGAAAGCTTGTTTAATCTTTGTCAAACCAGGCGCAGCTCAAGGATGAACCAACTCAAGCCACCTCCGCAAACAACTATTGTGCCATAAAGCATAGGTTTTGCTCATTGGATTTAGAGCTAAACTTTGATACCAAATTAATCCAGCTTGAATTGGCTTCATTCTTGCAGCACCTGCAACAAAGCGATCTGTTGTTGAGGTTATTGGAGCATACATGTTGTACATGTCATGTACATGTGTACAGGAGCTGTTTTAGCTGTGAAAGAAAGTTTGTTCTGGTTTCAAACTGGCTGTTCTGGCATGGAGTTAAAACTGGTGTAAGATTTGGCTGTATGTTTTGCAGGTATTGTCCACACTTACAGATTAAGACAAGGATCAGTTTGGCTTCAGTTTCTCAGGAGTGACCACAGGCCGCCTGCAATGCCTTCCAAGGCATTGTAGTTTTTAGTTACACCTCGGGTTTGTTGACAGTACACTGCTTCTTGTTGTTGCTGTTTAGTGCTTTGACCTCTTAATTGTCTCTACTTGTTTCACTTGAGATATGTTGGAAATTCTAAAATGAAAAAGGACTCTCCTCAGTGCAGACTTTGTGCATGCAGATTTACCTCGTACGTGGCATTGCTGGGAGCAGTTGATTAGAGTTGCACAGTAAAATGTACCTGCCAACCAGAATTGCAGTTTGCTAATAAAGTTTGCCATGGCAATTTGCCATGGCAGTTTGCCATAGCAGATGCCAGCACACACACACACACACCTTGCTTGCAATTTGTCCTGTTGCCAGGTTCAGCTGGCCAAGGTTCCGTCCCATGCTGGTGTTACCATGGCAACTTCTGATACCCATTATTGTATTATTAAGCTTTCCCCCATCTGGAAACTCCTTCCTTTTCTCCAGTGTTTGTGGTTTTATGATGTTTCGGTTGGCTGGCTTCAGACTCTAAATCCAGAGTTGTTTGCAATTCCCCTTTTTTTGTTGAGGTGTGGCGGCAGACCTTTTGTCAGCCAACAGTTGCACTGGCAACTATTCATGTGTTGATTTTTTATAAAAGCCGTTTCCTTGGCAACCCAGCAGGCACTGGCCCAGTGGATTGTGTAGCTCACAGTACATGTTGGCCCTACAGCATTGTAGACTCAATCTGTACATGTACATGTACGTGCCTTTTCCTTTGTTGGATTTCACAACGTGTACATGTACATCAATCTGTGCAGTGCACTAGGATGCTTCGATTTTAGTCTGTTTTTCGAAGTATAACTGAACTTTACTTCTGGACTGATATTATAGAAACATATATTGAGGAGAGAAAGACTTTCATTCGACTTGAATGGTATGTCACATACCTTCATGTTCATTGTATAGATGGTGTTTATTGTTTGGAGACTGCTGCTGTACGGGCAATTATGAACAGATTCTAGATAAAATAATGCAGAAACTGCACATTTTGGTGTATTATTTGTGGTTGTCTTTTGTTAACCTTGAAGTGAAGTCAAGTTGAAATGTGGAAAAATATTCCCTGCTATATAAACACTGTGCAACATGTACACTTGTAAACTAAGTTGTCAGAACTACCTCAGAAGGAGTCAAAGAGTAATCAATCTTATTCCGTTTATTGCCGCTCTAACAGAATATTGGATAATGGCAGTTTAGGCTTGTGCAGTTTTCAACCTGGAACAAAAGAAGTGTGGTGTATTTTTCGATTGCATGCGTCAAAGCGTGGCCCAGCGTGTTCAAGGTAACTCCGGGAATTTGAGGGTTTTTTTGTGGAGCACAAAGCGGAGAAGGAAATCTAAAAAAGAAACGTACGTCAAGGGAAGCACGTGTAATAGGTTTTCAATGGAATTTCAAAACCAAGCGTGGGCTGGCTTTGTTGGGACTGGATGTTTTGTAACCTGTTGCATGCGAAACCCAAATAGGTTTGGGCCAAGCCTTGCGTGAAGTGGCCTTCGTCATTTCTATGCGGAGTGGGTACCTTGGCCCTCAAAGAACTAAATATGAATCATTGTTGAGGCATTTACCCAAACTTCCCCGAGCAAGCAAGGAAAAGAAATCAGTGACCGTTAATTTCAAATGAGGCTCCATTGATATTCAGAGCAAGGTATTCACATGTAAATCTGGTGGTGGCTTGCCCCTGATCGTGCAGCAAGAAGAAAAAGTTTGTGTTCAGTCTCGCCTGAGTTACAGTTGGCATTGCACTGAACTTAAGTAAAAGAAAAATGATCCTCATCTTAAAATGGCAGGTTTGTATTGGTTGAAATAGAACTTCACAATTATTAAGCTACTGTTATTTGTTTGCCAGTGACATAAAGTGTTTCAGGTTTTGATCTTATGATCTGACTGTCTTTTTTTTTGCAATAGGTGGTAGCCTGCCACCATGCCGCCCAATCGTAAACCAGAGCGTCTGCTGAAGAGACACCTAACACTAGGCCTGAGCAAGAGCTTCCCCAGTGCCACGCTGTCCCGGGCCCTGGGTAGCCGGGTTCCCATGGACCTGAGCAGCAGCAACTGCAGCTTTGCCGAGATCATCAAGCTGGAGAAGGGTGGCGGTGCCATGGAGGATGACGAGCTGCGGCCGTTGAGCTGGCTGCACAGCACCGACCTGCTCAAGGACATGAACCTGGACGATGATGAAGGGGAGGATGGCCATGCCAAGGAGAACAATGCTGCCGGCGCCGGCGAAGGTGTGATGGCCCGGTACGGCGGCCTAGCGGGGGACGAGCAGGACGGGCCCGTGGACCCCAAGCGGCACATCAACAGCAAGCCACCCTTTTCCTTCAGCTGTCTGATCTTCATGGCCATTGAGGACTCTCCGCTGAAACGTCTTCCAGTTAAAGACATTTACCAGTGGATACAGGACCACTTTCCCTACTTCCACAATGCCCCCACGGGCTGGAAGAACTCTGTCAGGCACAACCTGTCGCTCAACAAATGCTTCCGTAAAGTGGACAAAATCAAGGGACAGATCAGCTTGGTAAGCCTTAACATCCATTCTGTCTGATGTCTTGAAAATAGGAAAAGTTTCCCATTGCAGTTCACTTGAAGATTAATTTACCTGGTCATTAAGGCACTACACATTATATCGTCGGTGTGTGTGTCAGGTAGCATAAATTTTGGTTTTGTAGAGTGTTCCAGGCTTTGCATGCCTTGCTGCCACTTTGTTATGTGATAGCCCAGTGTATATTTATTCAGCCTGGCTAAAACTAAAATTCTAACAGTTTTGAAAGTATCCAGTTTAGAAATCAATCGGCAGGGGATTTCCCCCCCCCCCCAATGAGTGCTTCAGTTTCACATTCTCAGTAACTCCTGTTGCTGATTACCAAAACCTTAATAAAAAGGTAACTTAAGAATTCATTAGTAATAAACCGACAGTTATGAGCAGGGCACCCTGCGCTTCACTTCCTGGGTTCTGTGCTTGGGGACCCTTCAGGAGTCGGACTGGATTTCCCTGTTCAGTTGTTGCCCACTTGTAGCCCTGCTGCACAGCTGCTGCCTGCCCTGGCAAAACAAAGGCTTCCCCTGGCAGGACATCTGCTCTGAGGTGTTGCCATGCCGACAGAAAAACAAACCAAGATGCAAAGATTTAATTACCTTTGTCCTCCTCTCCCCCCCCCACTCCCTCAGTCTCTCTATCTGGGGCAGCACAATAAAACTCCTTCCGTTCTTCTTTTCCCCGTCCAGCTTGTAGTACCTCTGTGCATTTTTTGTTATGATGATGAATAGCACAATAACTCTTTTCACTGTTCTGCTAACACCTGTCCCCCCTCCACTGTTATGGGGCCATTAGTATTGTTAACCTGTCTCTGTGGAGTTTCTGTCCAAAGCGGAGAAGCAAATTGAATATGTACAACCAATTTGAACGTCTTTGTCAGCTGAAGATGATTGTGGGAAAGCGTATTTAATGTGAGTGGGATTGGGGCAACTCCTGCCGTGCATTCTGTGCGGTAGTTTTCAAGGCAGAAAAGATTAAAATCTCATCATGACAGGTCGGACAATAACTTGTGCCAACTGACAGTTTACCTGTTTACCAAGTTTAACTTGGTACTTGTGGCATGGTTTTTTTCAGTGTCACGGCTCCCCCTTTTTGGCCATCCCACTTGTGGGAAGATACCGGTACAATATACCGCTACATTGTAATCAGCTGAGATTAACCCAAATGTGCTTTGGAGTGTCAAGTCCAATTCTCCAATTTAAATCTGCTAAGTGATACTCTGGATAGGCCATAGGCCGCTGTGTTCCAGCTGCCAGTTGTTGCTTTGTTTGGTCCCCCCCCCTTTTTCCAGCTTAAAAAAAGGAATCGGCCTTTGCAGCAGTTCAGGCTGTGATGGAGCAAGTGGCTGGGAAATAAGTTTGCAACTCGAACTAATCAAAATTGAAGTGTTTGACATAGCTTCAGCCCGCTATTAGCTTGCAGAAATGCAGAATGAAGTTCAGGACAATGCGGTATAATGGCGTTGCTGATAATAGGCCAACGTGGATACTACTTGATGTGTGAATCTGGGTACATGTACCAACTCCCTTTAGCCTGTGTACTTTTTTATCAAAAGGTCCAGGATAGGGCAAAAGGTTCACTCTCCAAGTGTAGGTCATGTATGGTGATAAGAGTGTGTTGTGTAGTCTGTGGGTACTTCAAAACAACAATGGACTGGCCTTCTGATTGTATGCCTAGAAGTGTTTGGAAGGGTGACGTCACTGTGTGCTTTCAAAGGTGGTCAGAGTTTTGAGTGATGAAATGAATAAATGCAGTTGAGTGTAAAGTTTTGGGGAAAAATTAAAGCCTGGTGTCATGCCTTTTTTTGATGGTAAGAAATATAAAGTTGGGCAGATCAAACCATGGGGTAGTGATTATTTAAATCTTGACCAAATGGCAGATTTTACAAAACAAAACCTAAACCTACATGTACGTAAATGTGGCAGTCTTCTTTCCTGCTTTTAAAATGGCTGCCTCTAAAGCGGGAAAAGTTTCATAATCAGCCAGGCTTTTCCTGCAGATCAGCCATTAGACAGCTGTCTCAAGTTCTCATCTCTGATGATTGAATGCTCTGCTGTTGTACGCATGTAATACAACATGGCATTCGTGCATTAAGAAATCTTCCCTGACAACACAAAAAATATTAGTTATGGTGGCCATGGTTACCAGAGAAACCATGGGAACGGGTGAAATGTTTTGCCAGTGTTGACCAGAAATCTGAGTAGCGATGGCTTTTTTTTTTTTAAAAAAAGCCGATACAACATTGTAAAGGTAACTACGGTACATGTAAATGCTGAAGGTATTTGTTATTGTAGGAGTCATTTATCATATCCTGGCAAGTTTGGTATTTTTAGAGAGAACTTTACGAAAAAAGAGGATGAATGTTGACTGGTGCCGCTGCATGAATTTGCAAAGTGGCACAATGTATTTCCACAGAGCATTCAAGGCCAACAGGCATAACTCTGAAAATATTTTCGTTGGACCGTGAATTTTACAGTTAAAGGACTACCTGTTGGGGTGTGATGCATACCTGGCAATGCCATATCAGGTGCGGAAAATTGGTGCACCCTTATTGTTGTCTGAGGAGTTGGCATTTGTAGTGTACAGCCATTCAAAACTTTCAAAACAAGTTTTATTATTTCAAGTTAGGGAATTCTGAGGTTCACCTGGTACATACATGTAGTCTGAAGCGTAAAGCCACTTTGGAGGTTACACAGTTCATTTACTCTTTTTTTTAACTGCGTCAGGATTTCACATATGTTTTTTAGCCTATCCAAATTGTTTCTGCATGTTGAGCTTCATGCTGGATGAGCGGAAATCAAGTGTTTGTAGGAATTCAAGATGTTAGTTTTGGAAAGGGTTGGGGCCCTTTATGCCCCTAAAAGTCCTGGGGCTTTTCGGGAAATGGCTTTTCAATTCGAAACACACAAAATCCTGGTTGAACATTCAGTGTTCATATTAAAAAGGATTTAAGGGGTTCAAGATTTGGAGTGGCTCTGTGTGCCGCTTTTTGGCAGGAAATTTCTAAGCCACAGTATTTTTTTTCTCAAGAGGCTCTGATGTAGACGTTATTCTTCCATTGTGGATGGAGTGTTGTTGTAGCTGTAGAGGGAAACATTTTTTTTTTCTGTACTCAGGAAGTAGTTTCATAGCAAAAGGAAGACAGCGGTTAAGATAACCCTATCAGGAAGTCCCAGCCAGTCACTCTGGCCTTGCTGCGTTGCCATGGTGATGTGTCCAGCTGTCACTGAGGGGAGCTGCCGGTTGCCTGGCAACCATTTATCTTAGCAACAGGTTCCCGTGCTGGCGTAACTTGATGGCTGTGAATCAAAACTTTTTTTGTGTGTTTAGTTTTTCGTTTCTTTTCGAAACCAGGAAGCTGATGTTACAAAGTGGAGTATTGAGGATGTAAACTTGAATAAATCAATTGTTATACTGCCCATTCCATGCCGTGTGGACTGACACTCAATTCAGACACAAGTGAAAGAATTTGGATGAAATTGTTTTGTTTTGAAGTCATTCTTCTTGTTTAAAGATTGAAGTACTGCAATATTCTCATGCTTTATTAATGTCCAATGTACATGGGCAGTACATAAATATTAGTGAAAAGTGCAGTTGCGATGAGATCTGTTAGCAGCAACTTAAAAGAAGTTGCTTGTCAAGGGGAAAAACTACAAACCCTGTTTCCATGCAAGGCCATTACTAATACACTACTCTTTTGCCCTGTGTGTCACATACAGGGATTAAAAAGCATTGATTTCTTTGCAATATTGTTCGGGTTTCACCTGACTAGTAATTAGAGGAGAAGTTTAAGTTTTGGGGTGAGAAAAATAATTTCTCGTGTACGCACAGGGCGGAATTCATTACAGCCAGAGCGCGTACATGTACATGTATGGAAGTTACATGAATGCTGTGCATTGGACTAGTCAGTGCCAAGCCCCCCACCTGTGAAAAGAAGGCGTTTTGGAATGAGGGTAGATTGGGACAAATTGCCCAGAGTGGGCCCCCAGCTGTGCCCCACTGTGGCAGCATTGGGGCAGAGGACATTGAGCTGTCCTGACTGGCTGTACCTGTCTGTGACACTTCCCTGTGTCGTAAAGCTAATATGAAAATGACAGGAAAAGCAAAACCAAAAATGCAGGCAGGTGTTTTTATTTTGAACTGGTGGGCTGTAAGTGTGACAATTCCAAGGATGGGAGGGTTATGCTCTCTCCATGTGCGTGCAGTTACGTGTTCAACCGTATTCATGTATTTCCTTCTCAGAATATGCATTTTAGCCTGCAGACCTGGCATCTGTATGGACATACAATACGTGTACACGTATATGTTGTACGGTACATAGATGAGAAACAAAATGTTCTAAAGTTACTCAATGAAAACTTGATTACCGATACGTGTAGGTGGTTGACATGGTCAACAGTAAGGGGCATGTTTTGATATGTACATACATATGAAGAACGTTGCTGTTATTTGTATAGTGTGCAGTCACACTCCTGTACATGTGCAGAGCGGCAATTTTTTTGTTTTTGAAAGGGACCAGGGAAATATTTACTCCACCTTCCCTCGATTGTTTCAACTGAAGCAGCACCAACACAGAATATGTGGACACACGTGTACATGTTCCTACATACATGTACACTTTCTGAACATTTGTATATCACATTGTTTCAGCACGATAACTGCTGTAAAATAAACAGAGGCGAGGTACGCTCTTTCGGCCGTCTGATTTTACGAAGTCTTTCCTGACAGAAAGAAAAGATTAAAAAAGCACTCCAAAATCTACTCATCAGAGTCAGTTTGCCCGTAGAAGGATAATTTTTATCTGAGATGAATGGTTTTCTATTTCAAATTTGCCATCCACTTAGGTCTGACAGGTTTTTCCAAACACGTTAAAGGCTTTTGGCAAATAAAGCAGTTTGTGCTGTTGAAAGGCCATTTTTTTTCCTCACCTAATGGAATACCATGTCCGAACAGGGAGGGTCTTGCCCTTTTGCTGTAGGAAAACATGTAGAGTTTTGACTGCTCTTGAACTAGGTGGTGAGTGAAATGTCGGTCCCCGAGGCTGTATCCCTGCCCTGCCAGAAAAAAAAAAGCTGCTTTCAGCTGCTAAGGCCATTTGGTCCATGCACTTGAACCCGACTTTGCCTTTCTGGCTTCTAATTCCACGGCCATAAAGTAAATTTTATTGCCTCGCAGAGTGGACAAGAATACCACCCCAATTTGCCTCTGACTGCGAGGTAAAATTTTATGGTCAGTGGTTGCTTAAAGTGAAGGTGGGGGGAAGAGAGAACAGATTGGTTGCGAATGATTTGAATCTGAAGAGTTGCCTAGCAACAATCCACTGAACCAAACAAACGGATGTCGGGGCTCTTGCCATAATTGTTTTTCCTTTTTTTTTTGGCAAAACAATTGCTCTTTCATCAGGCTCAGCCATGGATCCAACCCACATGTAAGTTTTCAACAAAGGGAGTCCCATGTCCTTGCAGTCTGAGCCACTCTTGACTTGAAGGCCTGTGGAAACCAATAGGAACCATCAACATTCCTCACTCACTTAGCTTAAGTCCATTTTTGTCATAATGCCAAACTGAGCGATATATCAACATGAAGAGAACAGTTTAGCCCTTTCTGAACTAAATTAAAAGAAAAAAACAACTGAAAACATTGCCTTTGTGTAAGACTGATTTGGGGGGAACCCGTCACACACACACTGTACGGGCACCAGACACTGTGACAAAACAATTCAATCGCTAAATGTGTATTTCATGTGTACAAAGGTACATTGCCCAGAATTCCCGCGGCGTGCAAAAGTCATAGAAAACTCATGGAAATTTGTTTTTCTTTTCCAGGCCTGGAAAAGGCGTGGAATTTCGTAAAAAATGACTAAAGTCGTGGAAAAGTCACGGAATTTTGTAAAAAAAATGACTAAAGGCGTGGAAAAGTCCTGGAATTTTTCAAACACAGTGTATGATTTCTAGTGTCAGAAATAAGTGCATAATATGGGTGATTTTATTCACAACTTTAACAGTCCGAATAGTCCCAGAAATTGCATTTTTGAGTCCTGAATTTTTATAAGTTGGTCATGGGCAAGTGATGGAAAAGTCATGGAATTTTACTGTCCTTAAAGTGCAGGAACCCTGATTTGCCACATAGTGATGCAACAACTTTACACATTTTCACTAGCGATGAATACCAAGAGGCCTTACAAGATAAATTGAAAACTCCCTGTATTTATGGAAAAGTTTACCTCATATGTATCATGCACATCAAAGTACATACAAATATGTACAATTAAGGACGGACAAAAAACACTACATGAAAATCAAAGCACTTATCTAGCAATGCTGTACATGTATATGCATGCATGGGTCAGAAGGACGGAAGGATCCTCATCAATGCTTGGGAACATGGCCTCAGTGCTCTGCTGTCCTACATGCAGTTCTTCAGTGCTGTTTCTTTCTCATCACAAATGCGCATTGATCCACCATTATGAAATATTCACAGTCCTAATCAGTGCACTAAGGCTGATAATCTCAACTCAGAGGGGCCATAAACAGTAGCCTAAAGGCCCGACTGCACTCAAGAATTGGTGCTAAATACCTCACGGTTGGTTTCCTCATTTCTTTTTCTTTTCTTTTTTTTCCTCTCCCCTAGCACCCTTTCCACTTGCAAAAGAATCGGGCTGGAATTTTTTTTTTTTTTTCTCGTGCTCAAGTTCCCGGCAATCTTGTTTCGCACTGTCGCCATGGTGACCTGTTCGCATCAAGCAATCCCCCCTCGCCATGGCGGCTGGGAGGAAATTCGATTAACGGCTCTGTGTGTTTTCTCAGCCAGTCTGTTAGATAAGAAAAACAAAAGGGAGGGGGACCCAGGAATAAATCCCAGCCGCATCAATGAGAGTGGAAATTTCACCAGAGGCACTGGTTCCCGTACTGCTTCCCACCCCAAATTCCTACCCCCAACTCCCTTTTCAAATCGTTATCTTCAAATCCATTGTCAGCATTTTGCATGGTTCTTGCCTCCCCAATATGAATAATAGGTTTCCCAATCCTGGCTCATGATTGAACACAAGGCCGACGATGGTTGACTGCCCCCTTCCCCCATCCCCTTTCCTTTCCTGCGGGCGTGTAAATGTGTAAGAATTTAGGGGGTCCCTGCCCCTCGGGTAAGCTTGGATTGTTTCTGCTGGGGCTGCCGATCATTAGTGGACGCGTGTGCGCTAGGAGCCCAGTATTGATTGTGTTGGGCTGATCAATATCAGGTATTCACACTCGATGCTGGGAGTGAATAGAATGGGTAGGGAGGTAGCCATATGGCACTTTGCTTTACATTCCAGTGTTTTGATTTGCACCCTGCTTTGCTACACTCGATACACTAAAACAGCAATCATGCAGTACAAGCCACTGTTTACGACCCCCCCTGCCAAACTCAAGAATGAAAAGATACAGTGAACGTTGTTGGGGACATAATGCAGCAAGGGTAGGCTTTCCAAGATAAAGGAAGACATGAGCAAAGAGTGATGTGTAGATGAAATGCCTCACTTGGGAAAAATTGGGTTGTTACTTATAGGCTTACACAAGGGAATGCAATTCTGAAAATCTGGAAATCACCAGTGATGATGATGCCTTTGTTCGTGAGAACTCTGCTGTGTCTAATGCAGTGATATCTCTGGTCTACTGCATTATACAGTAAGTGCATGTACACAGATGTATAAATGGACATACATGTACATGTGCCAAGTTGTACCCACAGCCCTTAAAGCGCGGGAAAAGGGTCATTGTTTAATTTGCGCATCATTAGTATGCTCTGAATGGCTCACTCACTGTGGTGCTTTATCAACTCGACTGGGAGAAACGATGCAGAAATCTGGGTAATAATACCGATCACTCTCCCTGATTGCCAGCGTGACAATCCCTTGTATCGGTTTTCCTAACAATTCATCATGGTAGCCTGGTGCTGCTGCAATTTAGAATAACTGATTACCAGTTTGGAGGGAGCCGGCGTGCAGCCAACTGACCCCTTCCCCTTCCAACTAGACTAGTCTCAGTTGCGTCAGATTTGGATGTATGGTACTAACAACTCCTCCCCCCTTCCCCCTCTGCTGCTGCTGCTGCGAATCCTCAAATAGACCAGTTTGTCTGGGCTGTGTACTCAGTACATATTACAAGCTTGCTCTGGGACTTTGGTGCATGAACCGGCAAAGCGCCTGTGTTGATTCAGCAGGATTGGAGGAGCATCCGCTGACTGGGGTGCCGGGTGTTGGGATGAGCTCGCCATCCTCCTGTTTGCGAATCTGGCTGCGATACAGATCTTGTGTGATTCATCACACAAGATACTGCAGGATCAGTGGTTAAAAATTACCCCTCAAAAATCAATTCAGCACATACATATAGTCTCATCATCACACTTAGGCTTTTCCTGTTAAAACGCTGCCCTGTACTTAAGCTAATTAATCAATCTGTATCCAGGGACTATTCCATGTATGTACTTTCTACTTGGCAGCATTTTCCACTGTCCACTCGCCCATGGCATTAAAGACTGAAGAAACCCTACATGTACAGATGGCAAGTTCATTTCTCAACAGCAGGATTAAATTTGATTCACTTGATATGTGCCTGCACCTTTCAAGGCATAAATGTCTTGAAATTTATGACGTGCCATAAATCACTCGTAGCTGATTTTAATATCCAGATTTAACCTTTTTTTGGTATTCTTGACTCTCCAGTCAATCGGAAAAGGCTCACTATGGTGCGTGGATCCGGATTACCGGCCCAACCTACTACAGGCGTTACGAAAGACACCCTACCACCCTTACCATCATGTGCTGCCCTACAACTCACACCCTTACCAGTATCACCAGGGCCCGCTCTGCAACATCTCAAGGTACGTGCTTCATTCCTCTACTCCTCTATCATTTCCTTTCTGTTTCTTGTCAAGAGCTAGTCTAGGTTTAGGCTACGACTTGAGAATAATGCAAGTGCTGCTGGAATATACGTGGCTGGTGGCTGCAGCAAGTTGCCGTGGTCTTGTGTTTTTAAATTTTGGGGGGGATGCTCGTGGCCTAGTAATTTGGATGCGGTCTGAGCTCCACTCTGTGCAATGTGAAATGCTCTTTTGAATGTGTTCTCATTTGCTGGAATACCGTCGGCGTCTTTGGAGTGTAGCCATGTGCAGAAATGGTATGTGGTTGATTGACTCTATAGCTTCTGACTGAAAATCCACTGCCTGGATACACTGCCCTTACCACACGAGACTGGAACGCATGCCTGCATGTACATTGTATACGAGGCACGCTTGGATTGATAGATCCCTTCAAATCAGAGTGCTATTCTGTTCCGACTTCGCATAATAGGCAATATGCACTCACCATTACCAAATGGCCCCCCTCTGGTGTGGCCCACTTTAATAATCTTAAATCCTAAATAAAAATGATTGGGAAGGGACACTAGAGACTAATGCTGTCTAAGTTGTGAGCATTTTCCAAGCACCATAGCACTTCCTCAGTATGGTCGCCAGTGCAATTTCTGTTCATGCAGTTTGGCCAGGTGGGCATCGGAACCACCCCCCCCACATGTATCAATATGGGGTCTGTTTTAAGTGACTTCCACGTAAGCTTGGAGGCAACTCAGCATTCGTTATTGCGTACCAAGTTTTCCAGCTGCCTGCTGTAGGATAATCGTCAAACACGGTTTGAATCCACACCGCCCACACACAAGGAAGGAAGGAGGTGCCAAATAAGCGTGTAACCTGCCGGGAAATGGCTATGAATAATGTATGCAGACCCTGGCCAACTATAAAAGAACAACGACAGGGGGAAAAAAAAAGTCCAACTTGCCACCTGCCCAAGATTCTCGGGCACTTGGTTGCCGAGTGATGCAATGCTCGTTCGCTGGTTTGCCATGGCAACGGACTGCATCGCACTTGCGATGCGGGATGGTGGCAAACACTAATGGGTCCTCTAACTCACATATTATGCGGCGTGTGTCCCGCTGAGCTCTGCTGCGTATAGTACATGTGGCAAACAGTTTTTAGTTCGTCTGCAAAGGGGGAGGGGGGATTGAGAATCAAACCTCAGGATCCTGTGGTATGAAAAATAATCACACCAGCTCTGGATTATTGGGCTTGGCTGGATTGAAATATTGTCTTTCTGGTAAACGTAATGAAGCTTTCTGTGTTGGCATTTTGATAGTCTAGGGATTAAAGGACAATGCCCAGCACACCACATGCACATTAACGCTGAACTACGTTTTTCAAAAGTGGCCATTGTTGTGTCTGCATTTTTCCATCTGAGTGAAAAGAGCGGAGCGCACCAGTTGTGATTACTGGAAATGGATAATTTAAGGCAAAGGTCATCAGAGCAACAGCATAATGAGCACATTAATGTCAAGACTGGGGCTCAATGTTGTCAAGATGTCAAGCAGAAATGTGGCCTGAAATTCTTGGTATTTTGAATTCTCTATCAGTTCACGTGTCATCACTTTTCTCTCTCCCAACAGCAATCCTAACAGGCTTCCTGCAATGCACATCGGCTGCAGTAACGGCATACCCTTACCTAGTAAGTCAAGTTTACTTCTTTCGTTTTTCTCTTTCCCAAATCCTCCACCAAATGCCCCATACTCTGACCCTAACTTTGTATCCACGGTGATTTTTGTCTCAACTATCTCAACTAGAACTATCTGAACACAGTGCCCTCATAGAGGCAGATAGGCCTACTGTAGGTGCAGCGGTAAGGGGTCATCCATCATGTTAAGTCATCATTTCCACGAGTGTACAGAAATCATTTCTTCCTAGTTCCCTCTCCATCCCAAAAATTATGCAAGAAAATAAAGATGGTTAATTTCCAGGCTTATACATGTAATTCTTTTTCCCAAGTGCACTATCTGTACGCTCCGGAAAAAGATGAAAGAAAGGGGATGGCCCCAAGTGTGACTTCTTGATTAAAGCCTCAGCTATCACCTTGCCCTCAACTTTGTTATTTATTTTCTCAGAACTGTACAATTCCATGTATGCACGACAAAACTCAATAAGCAGCGCACCATTGTAACGAGGTTGTACATGATGTGGTGGGCAAACTCACATACAGTATGAGATACGTGCCCATGTAGATTATGTTACTCGATCCCTACCTTAATGTATCATAAGCTCTTGCTTTCTCTTCCTTGTTCCTTTGTCTGTAAATCTGTATGTCTACCAACTGGAACTTTTTTTTTGAGGCAAACTTTTGAGAAAGGAAACTCTCGCCTCGTTTGCTTCCAAGGAATTAGGAAGAGGGAATGCAAAGGTTATTGCAGGGGCCAAAGGGATGTTTAGAAGCCCAAGTCATGACTTTGCCAGATCAGGTACCTGCTAGGCTCATCAGTCGCTGTCATCAAGGCCAAGCCAGGACTGATGGGGGTCATTTTCTGTCACCTGACTTGCCTTTTGATTGGAAGGGGATTGGGTCCTGGAGGCCTGGGGTCTTGGGGTACTTTCAGGATTTTGAGGAGGTGACTCTGAGTTCGTGGGAATGGAGGTTGTTTCCTTCAACCAAAACCACAAAAAAGGAAAACTTAAAAATGGTTGTTCGCCTGTCTGGTGGGGATGGCCATCATTCTTGGGTTTACAAAATGAAAAATTTGAGATGGGAAGTCGGTTCATCAAGCAACTGGCAGGAACAAATATGCAGTTAGTATTCTGAGGCAGAGGAAAAGGGGGGGGACCTCAAACTCTTTAAAGAATGGGAATGCAAGACCACAGGAAGTGATTTTTCCTTCCTGAAAGTGTACTTTTTTCCTCAAGGCTGTTCAGGTATTCTCAGCTGAAACTCAGCCATGAGTATTTTTATTTCCAAAACATGTTCTCTGATACCTTAATTATGAGAAAAAAGTTTCAGATGAATTTTGTCATAAGGAGAATTGGTCTCAGTAGAATTTAGTCTTTCTTCTTGTACGTGTAGCTGAATGGGAAGTCAGGTGATTTTTTGTTTAGCTGGCCATATCTCAGGAACCATCACAGCTGGCTCAACTGGAAAAGTGTGAAGCGGTGTACTGTATGTGCCGTTGTTATCATTGACATGACCTGTTTTGACTGCCTATGCAAACATGTCTAATGGTTGCCTGGTCAACAGGAAAGATAGAAACCCAGTTTCTTGCTGCCGCCCGCATATTTCTATTATTGGTTCAAGGGAAAAATAGAGTTGCTGTTCAATTTCCAAGCCGAGCAGGTATCTTGACAATAATAAGTTGTTCCTGTGAAGGCAAAACCCGGGTCAGCCTATTTTTACGATGCACACTACATTTAGTTAGTGATTTTGCTGAGCGCAAACGCTTTTTAGGATGGGGGCCATTCTGGTCACTTGTTCTGCCTCCCCCCTCCCCCCAACAGATCAACAATGGCTTAAAACTGTGTCAGGTGACCTGCATCAGGTGTCAGCACTCGTTGCCCACTCCTTTTTTTTCCCTGCTTCACAGACCAGAATCTCTCTCTCCCACCACCCACGGCAATTTCCAGTCCATTGCCCCTCTTGTCCACACAGTAATTGAATAATTGAGACACAAACAGACCACTAGTGTTCACCCAATATGCTTATTTCCTGCTCTTTATTTGGACCACGGGTGAAGTGACAGGTATGGGAATTTGATAAACTGATTGTTGGAGAGGGCTGGAAAATTAAAAGGTACATGTATACACGCCACGCTGTGATGAAGAGAGAGACTGAGGTGCCATGCATGAACATTCTTGAACTTTAGTTTGGATTTTTTATTGGCTGAACTATAATATCTGGCTAGCAGGAAAAAAAATGGGTTTGAGATTGCTGGAGTTTTCCCTTTTTTTGGTGGTCTGTCTTCCTGTATTTTCTGTCGTGGGAGTGACAGGGTCGCATTAGCAGCAGCCGAATGTTGCCCAACGTGCCAAACTTACTGAGCTGGTCGCTTCCCATCCTCTTTCACCGAAAAGTACCAGTGGAATTGTGCACCACAGAGCAGTTGAAGCCTGTATTTTTGATTGATGGGATGTGGAAGCTGCTTGTGTATGTTCCTAGAAACAAGATCCAGGGAGACATGGCATCAACGAATTTGAGAAAATGTGACAGATAGTCCACCACATGACAGCTCAGAGGAGCCCGGACACAGGCGACTGTGCACCGGAGGCCGGCTGAGAAGCAGATCTTCCCCTTTTGAACATCATCTTCTGCAATTTGCACCGAACACACGTAATACAGACTTTCAAAGAATCGACCACTTCAGTAAATAATAACCCAGGCTACAGACTCACTGTCGTCAAGGGTGGGGGGGGTCAAAAAAGTATAAAGTATAGCCCTCTTCAAAAGAGTCGGAGCAAATTGGAATCTTCATATTGTCTGGTTGTCTGAAAGGAATATTAATCACAGAAATGAAAATAAGAATAGGAAAGAGATAAAAGGATGGGGGGGCTGCTTGGGAGAAACTCGATATTTGCTACAGTTCTGTTGACTGGGCAGGAAGGGAGATGGGGGGGGAGAGATGTTGAGCTTGTGAGAGTAGATGAACTGAGTGCTGGTTGAGGAGTGGATGAAGCTGAGGCAACTGGTGTTGACAGAAGCTGGATGCGCCCCCGAATTAAATCGGCCAGCTCCAGTTCATGGGGATCTGAGCCTGATGGCCGTGTAATGACAGGGCCATTCTGAGGGTTTCATGTACGCCATGCTGTAGATGTGGCCCCTAGTATTCTGGGAGAATGTCTGCCACGTGAAAAGTCTGAAATCTGGAAACAGTGGAATGGGATGAATGGTGGAAATACTGGTATGCTCCGTAAAGGGGAAAAAAAAGGAAAAACAAAACTTGCACTGGAAATTCTCAGGAGGATGAGTTCAGTATTTCAAAAAGCCAAGGTTTTCGGGAACAGAGCGTGCATGTGAGTCAATGTACGGCTACACTGATTAGGACAGACTATTTTGTGCGTGCGTAGCTATTCAGAATAGCCTTGCACTGAGCATGCACTGTTGGAATACTGAACTGGCTCTTTGTCTCATGAAATTTTGCGTAAAAGTTTCTGACTTCCAGTAAATTATGTAAAAATTGAAAAGACGCCTAACTTGTTACAGGCAGTGCATGATACATGTTAAACATGAACAAGAATATCTTGTCCCTTTGCGGAAAATCAATGTCAATCAATATTATAAGTGCCAAGATTTTTAACCAGATGCCCTATGCTTTAACACAATTCATTTCCAATTTTAAACGTTCTTTGTTTGGAAGATGCCGCTTCTTTCATCCCTGGCTCAGAGTTCCCAACATCACATCCGATTTTCAATGTGTGGCAAGCATACATGTAGAACGTGACACCCATAGGCTTGAAAACTCACAGGTGCACATTGGGTGACCACATTCACTTGATTGGTTACCCCGCAATAGCTTGGAGCCAGGAAGATTGGGCTGGAGCAGATTCCATTGAAAGTTTTCTACTCTGAAGGGTTTCATTTGTTTTGTTCAATGTGGCCCTTCACAGCAAGGTCAAGCACCAAGGTGATCAGAGGGGTCATGCCCCATTTAGATACTACACCCAGGCGCAACTTTGTTCTTTTGTGCCCCGTTCATTGTGGGCGGCCCCATTGACCTGAAACCCCTTCATTCATTTGGGCGAGGCCGTTGAGATTGTTGGGTTTTTTTTTCCCAGCGAGCGACTTTCTTGAATGAGCAGCTGGACCCTCTTAAATCACTTGTTTTGTGTTCCATCCTTGGGCACCTGTCTGTTGTTCCTGCAGTATTTTACACCCCCACCGTGCTCCGTTGGATTTAGGAATGGACACCTTTTCTTCACCCTTTCTGTAGGGCCATTTCTCTCATGACTGGTAGCAACTTTCCGATAATCCCCTTGCTTTACCACCTGGTGACTTCACAAAAAAACCCAAACAGTGTGGTAAGCATGGTATTACCCAATGTGCACTTGCAACTGCTTTGTGAGAAAAATAACCCAATCAGGGGGTAGGTAATCCCCCATTGCTTGAATTTAATACAGAGAATGTCTTACTCTGAGAAAATAGCGATTAGTTTTAATCATGTTTACATTAAACTTGATGAATATAATGTGCAGATACTATGTTAGACTGCATGAGTGTAATGATTGTTGACACAGGCAAATGCAACTGACATACACGTATTTACGATTATACAAAAATTTAAATGAGCAATAATATTGTGGATGTTACAAGACAGTGTGTCGGAGTGAAAAAGTACTGAAAAGCAGGATCGGAAGCAAGGACTAGAAAGGGGAACTTTTTTCGCAGAATTTGTCTTTTCAATGCACAGTTGAGGTTACATTGTGGTGTAAATTTCATGTTCATTCAGCACAGTTAAACCTCTCGGCTCCCGCATTCAATTTTTTGGCCAGCCGGGGCCTCCAGACAGAATGCGAGGCACATACGTGTGCAGTGTACTTACAGGGAGAATATTCACCCCGGTTCATTCGGAGTATTAAGAATCTGCTATCAACCCATCAGTCTCCAACCAAACTGATTAGAATTGCGCTCCACACATTTATTAGGGGTTGACATCACGGGCATGCACCCACCTAAACTGTTTCAGGATGGCGATCAGA